TATATATATATATAAATATATATATCCTGCATGGTCTCAATACCATATAATTAAATGTGGTTGGTTAAAATAAATAAATAATGAAAAACAAAAAAAAGGGAAAATATTTAGATGCAGGTCTTGATGAGTTTGAGGAAGCAAAAATGTTTACTAAGTTAAAAAAAGACTCTCAGTAAATCTAAATGTCTCTGTCAAGCAGAACAAAAATACGGCACAGAAATTAAAAGCAGAACAGAGCCAGACTCTTGAGGACTGTGGTAGGATCTGCATTAGAATCTTAATTTGCCTTATTGTTAGATGTATTTTAGGCTCAGCACAATTTTGGCTTCGGTACCATACCAGAATCTACTACCTCAGTGTCGTACTAAATCATTACTCATAGGTGACAAATAAGCAGCCTCAAAAGATATCCAAATTAAAAGCAGAGCACTGCATGCATGAAACCCTGCAGTAACAAATGTGTTGCTCGTTTAAAATAAATACTTCACTACTCTCCTGTACTCAGTAAAACAGAAGCAATACTAAACAAACTCCAGCGTTTTCAGCAGTGTGTATCAACATATAATATACAATCTTGTTTAGATCATCAGAAGGCGAATTCATAGATACTAAACACGGTATTTGTAAGGTTATATGAATGAGTGGTTTATCGTAAGCATGAATAAAATATTCTATAATACAACAGATTAATACAAAACAGCAATAATATACACAATGGCCTGAAGAATATGTGTGTTCGTTCAAAGAAAGGTTTTCCTATGAATTAATTAGTAGAAAAGTCAATTTCTACTGTGCATTTGTGCCCCCTTGTTTCTGGAGAATGCAGCTGAGGGTCGGCTCGCATTCCACAAGGTTGTAAATGTATCGGGTTACCATGAAACCAGGGTCCTGTTCGGCGTCCTGGGGTGTTACAAAGTATTTGTGAAATCTAGCTAACAAAATATATATTGTGTGTTTGATTGGTCCAGACGCTACAAGTGGACTCAGATCAACTTAAACACATTTGACATCTGACAGTTAATGTTAACATTTACATTATATCAATATTATATCATCAGCACAATTATCATGTAGAGTGAGATTTATCTGTTTGACCCAGCTTGTTCCTCTGTTGTCACATTCGCCGGTTTCACTTCAGTTTGGGTAACACTGCCGCATAGCAGTGAACTTTAGAATAGCAGCGTATCAGGTAACCAAATGAGCAAAATCATGATATTGTATCAACCCTACTGCATGTGTTTGTGAGCCTTTAAAAGCCTGGTTATCAAGTTTTAAGATTTCCATTTATTTATCATGTGATGAAATCAGTAGTCAAATGAGTAGTATTGCCTCATAAGAGGCACTAGATAAATTCAGTTGTGTTGTTGTCTCAAGTCTTAATAATACATTAAAAAAAGAAACAGCTATACATTATACATAAATCTGGAAACTTACATAACAAACACATACACATTTGGTTCACTATATTTAAGGAGACCTATTATGCCCCTTTTTCACAATATGTTATATAATTCTCAGATGTCCCCAGAATGTGTCTGTGAAGTTTCAGCTCCAAATACACCATAGACCATTTATTATATTATTTTGAAAATGATGATGTCTCTTTAAATGCAAATAAGCTGCTGCTCCCCGCCCCCTTTTCCAGAATAGGGCTTCCTAGAGCTTTACAGCTCGTACCTCAGATACTCCGCTAAAAACATTGGTTTGGTTTTGATTATCATGTCTATCGCACTGAAATCATGCGTTCTAAACCATATTAGCTAGGGATGCACCGAAATGAAAATTCTGGGCCGAAACCGAAAATTCTGGATGCACTTGGCCGAAAACCGAAACTGAAAATGCTTTGTAATGATTATTTATTATTTGATTAAATGATACAAAGTAATTTTGTAAGACTTTAACACAATTTTAATGATATTGAATTTAAAAAACAACATACTTTTTACTGAAAGTAACGCATTAACATTAGTTAACTACTTTAGTTAACATGAACGAATAAACAATACCATTTCAGAATTTATTAATCTTAGTTAATGTTAATTTCAACATTTGCTAATGCATTATTAAAATCAACAGTTGTGCTTGTTAACAGTTAATGCACTCTGAATTAACATGAACTACTAACATGAACAACTGAATTCTCATTAACTAACATTAGGAAAGATTAATAAATACTGTAATAAATGTATTGTTCATGTTAGTTAACAGGCTACATTAACTAACACGAACTAATGGAACCTTATTGTAAAGTGTTACCTTAATATTAAATATCAATATATTATTTTTATTCAGTTCCACACAACAGAATCAGATATAACTTTTTTTAAACTAATTATCAAAATAATGTATAATCCTACAAAGCTATTATTATCAGACCATGTGAGCAGAGCAGAGCGTCACGAGAGAATAGCGTCATTTTACCAGCGTTGCCATGTTACAGCACAGTAGAAACAAATACACTACAAAGAAATATCCTGTCGGCGCATTATTTGAGCAGACTTTGCTTTTCCGGTGAGCATGAGCGGTACACGAGCGGAATATTGAGCGGAGCGTCACGCCGCGCAGTGACGAGGAGAGTGAAACCTGTGCGCTAAACACTTACAAATATTTGCCATATATATATATATATATATATATATCATATATATTTTTTCGGCTCATTATTTCGGCCGTTTTTCTCTTTGCCAGAGATAATTATCTAATAATTATGGCATTTTCGGTTTTTGGCCGATCATTTTCGGGGGCCGAAAATTTGGTGCATCCCTAATATTAGTTTAAACTTCTGATATATGGTTTTCTGAGCGCACACATCCGAAGCACGCACACAGAAAGTGGCTGTCACATGGCATGTGAGTACTAAACTAAGTTCTCTTTCATGTCCTATTGCACTTAAACCATCAAATACACACAAGTTTGTTAAAAACACATAAGTTAAAAAACAGTCAGTTATGCCTGTTAAGTTAAACAGCTGGGAAAGGAATCACATGTTTATATGAGATCTGTGTGGCAGCAGCGTAATATTCAGTAAATAAATCAGTCCACTGCTCTCTTGTCTCCTCTGAGGCTGGGACTCTAAACAGTGGTCTGTGCTCGTCTGTACAGCCAGACAGAACAGTTAGCATGTTTTGCTCAAACTTTTGCTATGACGTTAGAACTGCTACACCGTTGTTGCTTGCAAAAACAGAATGGTGGTGCAGTGGGTGAAAACTTGCAGATTAAGATTGCAGGTAATATTATAATAAGATCCCCTTTCTACATCATGGGGGGGAGCAAAATCTGACACGCTCGTTTATTCATATGCTTGCAGAGAAAGGCTTACCAAAAAAAAAAATTACTGGGTTGTTCTTTTTCATGTTTTCTGGGTAAGTAGACACACAGTGGACCTTGATTATAGCACTTAAACATGGAAAAAGTCAGATTTTCATGATATGTCACCTTTAATAAGGACACCTAATAAACTTCCATTGATTTTACAACAGGTAATTAATATTTTCTCTCACCTGGCCTGACCCCCTACCTCTAAATGTAACCCTCACAAAACACTAGATCTAAATAGAAACATGATTTGGTCAATTTGCATGCATAGTGAGGTCTATATTAGAAATGTGAGGACATTTTTGAATAGTGAGGACATTTTGGACTTCAGGTTTAGGCAAACCTTTACACATACACATAAAATAATATACTGTATACTGTATAACTGTATAACCTACATACTGCATAAGGCAGAGTTAAAAGCATTTCTAAATAGTCAGTCACAAAGAGACACCAGTCAACTCACACTATCACAAAATATTTTGGTAGAACCACAGACTTTCAGGTACCCAAGAGCATGTCAGAAATGTTTAAATAGCATTTAAACCAGAATATAACATTAAATCACCAATGATCCTAGATCAGGCATGTCTATATTCACTACTGAAAACAAACCTGATCAGGAAACAGATGCTTTTAAATCCAACCAAATAATAATTTTGATACTTGATACTTTTTATGATACTTTTATTTCTTTTAAAGAGGAATGTAAAGAACAAATAATGTAGAAACTAGAAACAAGCTGCAAATCTAATTTCAACATTATTTATTCTCCAGACATTCCCCTTCAATAAGCATCAGCTGCATGCAAAGGGATCAACATTTGGTTTTTCAACCACTGAAAATGGGTAATATTCAATAATCTGGACATGGAGCCACATTGAGATCCCTATATCTCTATTATAACTATACAGGGCCTTGAAAATGAAGATTCATAAAGAAAGGTTTATTAGGAAACGGAATCTAAAGGAAATCAAGATAACTTCAATACTTGAGTTACATGCACACAAACTTTGGAAAAATAATATTTATGGCACTCGGACAGGTATGTTCTATGCAACTGTTTTGATAGAGGGAAATAAGTTTCAACATTATGTGTTCCTCAGGCATTCCTATTTAAAAGACAATAGTATGTTCATGGGAAAACATACATGCATTAGTAGGCCAGTAAAATAGCACAAAACAACATCAGCCAAATAAAGTATGCACACAACATAGATAACAGACAATAATGTGAACAAAATAAAAACGAGTATAAAAGTTAGTCCTAACTGTAAGAACGCAGCACTGGAAGAAACGATCTAGACAGAAGAAAAGAATACTGCAGCCAACATCCTCCCCTGCTGGCCTCAATGAAAATGACATGGCTTAAATAACTGAGTATAAGGTAGCATAAATAACTACTTCTTCTTCAAACAAATAAAAACGTTTCAGTCACAAGCATGGTCTGAGACAGCTACAACTCCTACATATATTTGCTCTCTTTGTTAATCACAAGAAATGAGTTTGTCTGCAAATATGTATCAAAGGTAGTTTGTGACAAAAAAAAGTGTCAAAACAATTGACAGATTCCTCATAATTGAAATTTAAATTCCCAGGTTTTCTATGACCATGAGAGACCCTGGCCGTGTTGTAAACACATGGAGTAACAGTAGTACACTCACTGTTGTCCACTGAGAGATGACACTGGAATTCCGGGAACTGCGTCTCCACAGGAACACTGATGGTGCGACGCAGCAGTCTGGATTTGCAGGTGTCAGTCCTCTTCTCCTGTAGGAGCAGAGGGTGTATCTGACAGCGGAACACAAGAAAGAGAAAGAAAGACACATTTGTGCACACATTCGCCTGCCTCTCATCTCATTATTAATATATTCCATCCGAATTGAACAGATTCAAGTCAGACAAACAGAGGCAGCAAGACATAAAGAATTCAATAAAACAAGCACACAGATGGACAGAGTATGAATATATTAATCAAAGGGCTTCTAGCGACTTAAATTACTTACTGAATATGGCTATGCTATTTCATATATAATGCCATGTCATAAACATGCAAAAATAAAGCAGCTAAATATTATCATCGGGACAAAAAATTAGCTGAAAGCTTTTATAGATAGCAAGAAATATTTATGGCCAGTCTATTTTTTCTTAATTTACTCACTATTGGTAGGTATGACAAAAAGTTCTACTGATAGGAATACAGAAGGAGAAAGAGGAAGAGAGAGCAACTTAACTCTGGGGAATTCAGCGTCAGATCTGGGCAGCTCTGACTACCAAAATGACCTTGCGTTCCTTCCCAGAATCATGTTTCCAGTACACATTCAGCCCTCATGGTGTTATAACCAAACTTTCAGAACGTGCATTCTCTTGAGACTGTGCTACTGTGTTTTTGTTGTTATTACCAACTGTGAATTTGCCCTTAAAGGGGTCATATGATGCGATTTCAAGTTTTCCTTTCTCTTTGGAGTGTTACAAGCTGTTCGTGAATAGATAAGATCCCTGAAGTTGCAAAGACTAAAGTCTCAAAACCAAAGAGATATTCTTCATAAAAGTTAAGACACTGCCACACCCCCCTAAAACGGCTCGTTCTAACATGCCCCCACATATCTAGGTCACTATGTGGGAATATTTGCATAATGCCACCCAAATGTGCCCGCAAAGAAAGAAGGCGTGGTTTCAGTAACCGCAGTTAGTGTTGAAGCAGCCATGTCAGGGAGACGCTGTGTGTTTCTAGGCGAAAGCAAAAGCACTTTATTTGGCCTTCCGAAAGTAGATGCATTTAGGAATCTTTAAGATCACTTACAACAGAACAGCAATGCATTTTATGGACGACCGTTTCGTGAACCTAGGAGAG